CGCCCTTCACAAGGCTTGTTACTCTGTCAAAGAAAGCTATCAGCTATTTGTTCTTGACAAATCCATGCTGACTGTTACTTATCACCTTATTATCTTCTAAGTGTTTGCAAATTGATTGCTTAATTATTTGCTCCATTATCTTTCCGGATACAGAAGTTAAGCTGACTGGTCTGTAGTTTCCCGCTCTGGTTGTCCTTATTTCCCTTTTTATGACTTACAAACTGCTACCTAGCTCTGGCCAGCATAAGGAGCATACCCAGGGATTCCAGTAGCCCTGGAAAACCCCAGCTACTATAATGCCTTAGGGAGAGGAGTTAAAATTACACAGGCAACTTTAACTTTGACATTTCAACCTTTTTGGGTGCTTCACTGTACAATTTGAATTCTTATAATATTTTTGATGGAATTAACAAGGACTTCATAGCTAAGATTGAGAGGTTTCCTTCAAGGTTTTCTCCCCCACATCTTGTTAATTTCTGGGGTAAAAAATTCTTATTTTTTTCTGTTCAGACTACCTCGTCTGATTTTTAGCCAGAGGGGGCAGTTATTTCACTGTAAAGTACTCTAAAGAGATAGGGTTTCTCAAAAGTGGAAGTGTTTGTAAAACAAAGGCTTGTTTTTAACATGCATGTTTTGAATATTTTAGTCTGATTTGTTTTATACATTTCCCATTAATGGGAACTAATGCACAGAATTACATTTAAAATGTGCTTGGAAACATGTGAAATTTAAGATTCTGGGAGTCCAGGAAGGCCTAAGTTAGTAGTATGGTGTATATAGTGTTCAGTGGAAACTATGAAACATATGCTGAGTTTATAAATGCAATGACCAAAGAACTATGAAAACAGTATACTGTGTAGGCTTGATTTCCCCGCCCCAACAACTTTCTGAAAAGTTCCTTTCCACCTGAAACCTTTCATGGATAATCTCCCTTTAAAGGAGACCAAGTTTAGGTGTGTTTGAGTTGTGAATAGTGACTTCCACATTCCTTAGCTGCCGCCCCTCCCGCCCCCCAAAAAAGTGGGTGCTTCATCCCATAGTGTGACAAGCAGTCTTTTTAAGATCTTTTTGGCACCCTTTGCTGGTTGCCTGATAGGGAATCTTCTCTCCAGCCTATTTTTGGAAAATTAAGTTTAAGTAAATAGCTATTTAAAGTATTAGAATTCTGTATCTTAATATAAAATTACAGTATGGATACTAGTAGCTAAGAAACCACTACAAGCTTTCTTGTTTGTAATGAGGTCCACAAATCCATGATATTGTGTACTCCACTTGGAGGCAGATGAAATCTGTCAATCAGAGGTAGGGGAAGTGTGTCTCCACATCTCAGAACCCCCAGTGTTTGTCTCCCTCTCCAGTTGCAGGCAGGCAGACCAGGTCATCCCTACTGCAGAGCAAATTTAAAGAAGAAAGAAAGCCTGGAGATTTTACGCTATCGCATCTTCCTTTATTGGCAGAAAGGATTCCCTTTCTTCTCAGTTGCTGAAACTCTCTGCATTCCCTGCTCACCCATGCAGACTGAAGCATGGCAGAGAAGGCTAAGAGGAAAAACCTGCATTGTCGCCTGCACCTGTTCTGCTGATTAATACCTGCATGGAGATCTCTGCTTGGTCTGTGGAGACCCAGGTTCCTCAAGTGCTCAGACAAGGGCAGTGTTTCCAGAAGACGCCCTCCTTCAAACAGGCGAGCCCCCAGGAAATAGAGGCAGCACCTCACTAGCAAAATCCCTCAGGCCTGGCACAGATGACAACAGCAGCCCTGGGACTAGCAAGTGGCAGCTTGCTCTTCCCCACCCTATGCGGGGAGGAGTGTTTCTTCTACCCCACACATTCCGTGGTCTCCATTCTATAATGTCAGAAGATGCGTTGGTGTGCACTAGTCAAAATTTA